CCTAAACCCTAAATCCTAAAGCCTTCCCATGAGGGTTTGCTTGCTCTGATGTGGTACGGATCGAAGGCCGTGGTCCTCTCCTTCGACGGCGTAAAGAGTTTCAGGCTATTGGCTCGAAGGAAACCCTAAACCCTCTCGTTCGGTGTGGGTTCGTTTAGGGTTTAGGGTTTAGGGGCTCGCCTGGTGGCTGGAACAGTCAAAAGGCATGAGTAGACCGGCAATTTCATGTCTCAGCCCGCGGAGCATCTGAAGTTGGCAAAGCACCTCCTGAAGCCCAAGTGCTAAAGCCGATGATGCCAGCAACGATCCTGAACCCTAAACCCTAAACCCTAAACCCTAAACCCTAAACCCCTAAACCCTAAACCCCTAACCCCTAAACCCTAAACCCTGAACCCGAAACCCGCAACTTGTACCGTTTTGGGGATCGCACCCTGGGCTCAGGGTTTAGGATGGTTCAGGTCTGAGGGTTTTGCTCTTAAGGCTGAAGATCTCTGCAAACCCCAATCCTGAACCTTGAACCCTAAACCCTAAACCCTAAACCCTAAAACCTAAAACCTAAAACCCTAAACCCTAAACTCTAAACCCTAAACCTTGAACTCTACAAAACGCCAAGGGCCAACCTGCAGATCTCCTCCTGAAAAACTAGGCAGGTAGGCTGAAATTGACGTCTACAACTTTACATCCGAAACCCAAACACCGAAATCCTAACCAAGCCCTAAACCCTAAATCCTAAACCCTAAACCCCGTAACTAAGGCCTAAACCCTAAACCCTAAATCCTCCCTACGCCCCAGACCCCACAAGCTCTAAACTCTGTGCCACTGGAATTAGGTCCCGAGTTTCCGGTTGTGAGTTCCAACATCCATCGCCTACGACTTATGATGCAGTATATGTAAAGACACACACACACACATACAGTTATATGATAAGCTATACATATATACATACATACATATGTCTGTATATGTGATGCGCTTATATATGTATACATATATATATATATATATGTAGATGTGCAAGCTGGATATGTGATATTTAATATAAATCCAGCTACTTCGGAGGTCATCAAGACGTCGACCGGAGCGACGAAGACCTGCAAAGTCAGCCTAGACAAGGATCGCCAGGGATCCAACCTAAGCCCCAAGCCTGAAAACCCTAAGTCGTAAAGCCCTAAACCCTAAATCCTAAACCCTCAAAACCCTAAATCATAAGCCCTAAACCCTAAACGGTCAAAGCCCTAAATCATAAGCCCTAAACCCTAAACGGTCAAAGCCCTAAATCATAAGCCCTAAAGCCCTAAAGCCTGACTTTGCAGCCTTAAGGCCCTGCACCCTAAAACCCTAAAACCCTAAAGCCCTCAAGCCCTGAACCCTAGCTGGTCCAAGAGAACTGGCAGGGTGTGCCGGGACTGCGTACACTTCTCTGGCGAAGCATGCGAAAGCAAAAGCGTCCGCAGTACGCAAGGATGGGACAAAGGCACAGTGGTGATCGCACAAGTTTCTGCAAACCCTAAGCCCTAAACCCTAAACCCTAAACCCTAAACCCTAAACCCTTGATAACCGTGGGGATGTGCGTTTGGTGGCCCCTCTGCCAGCGCCATGGGAGGGGCGGCGGTTGCCGCCATGGCACTGTTGAGACCCTCGAAAGGCTTTGGGCCGCGGTTGGAGCCCCTCGCTTCATCACTCGTGGCGCAAACCCCAAACCCTAAACCCTAAGCTGAATTACCAAAGCGTACGCCGGAAGCCTGAATACCTATCAAGGCTATTGCATCACGGTGGTCAGCATTGGGCCAAGCTGAGGCAGAAAAGAACAACACGCGTGGCGGCATTCTTGTACTGTGAGGGCGATTGGATTTGGGTTGATGCTTGATTGATGCATAACGCGCGTTTTGTTAGCCTGAGCATTACGCAGAGTTTTGGCAGAGGTCTGCAAAAACACAACGTGGCGGAAAAACCCGGCACTAGAACCACACATCGTGATCACAGAGCTTGAAAGCCCACCAAACCCTGAACCCTAAACCCTAAACCCTGAACCCTAAACCCTAAACCCTAAACGTCGATCGAGAAAGGGCGGAGTTGGCATTGCTCCGTGATGCGAGGATGCAGCTCGAGCGCCAGCGATTCTATGGATTGTTTGGCCCTAGCCTAAACCCTAAACCCTAAACCCAAAAACCCTAAACCCTAAAACCTAAACCTGGTCCGGCGACAGCCGGAGCAGCACGGGGCGCGCAAGAAAAGACCCGGTAGCAGCAGAGAGAGGAGTGGCTGGACAAGATCGGAGCAGCTAACATGTGCCTTAATCATTACCTATACTATTTTGGGGGGCTCCTTATTACAATTCTGGTATAACATACCCATTCTTGAGGCCCTTATATTAGACGAGCAACGCTAGAGAGGAGTTCTCAAGGGGGCCGGCGATGGTAGGTGGCACGCGGATCGCAGAGGGGCGCTGGAACCTGCGGGTGCGGGCACCTGAGGAGGAGAAACTTGGTGGGGGAAGGAATGCAACGGTGGATGATATAAATCCTGCCTTACCTTAAGGACCTTACACTAAGTTATGGTATATTCAGTATTATGGGTAATGCAGGAGTTATATCATCAACCGTATGCCGGAGGAGGTGCGGGATGTCGAGTAAAGAGAACAGCCACTCACAAAAACAGGTTTCATGGTTTAGGGTTTTAGGGTTCGGGTTTAGGGTGAAGAATTGAACTTCGTATTCGCTATTCCCCAATAAAGCCCAAATCTTGTTCCAGGTAAGGCTCCTATAGTATAGAATCTTCATAATTTTCCTTGCGCAAAGCTGTAAAGACCCCTTATGCTATCCCTTATAGCACCCCTGGAAGCTCCACTGCGGCCAGGAAGGTGCCAAGCTTCAGATCTTAAATCCTTGAGCCGAGCACTCCTTCCATTTAATTGCTACGCGAAGATCGAAATCTTGAAGCCCGAAAGCAACAAAGCACGCTTAGGGACAACCCGAAACTTAAAACCCTACACTTTGAGCCGGAAATCCCCAAATCTCAAACTAAGCCCGAACAACCAATGATTCAGAAACTGACCCTTGATTCAGAAACTGCGCTTCAGAAA